GTTCATCCATTGTATTTTTACCAATGTAATACAATGTAAGCCATTTTTGGAAAAATGTGTGCTTTTCTGATTTAAGTGAAAATAGTTAGATCATGTTATACATTTTTAATTGTAATTGTAATTGTTAGTGTACAGACATGAGCTTTTGTTACCAGGGTTTCCATAAAGTACATTGTCACAGTTTCCCATCATACTGTTCCCATGGTGAATGTCTTTTGACTAAAACGCCAGTGTGACGGGATTTTTCTCTGGCTACACACTGCAAGCCAGCTGGCTGACAGAACATCACAATAGTGAACTAAATCTAGCCGGTGTTAATCATGTATTTCTTAAAAGAATATACTTGTAATAATACATATTTTGGGTTTTTTTGCAGCAGTAAGAACTGTTGGACATTAATAACCTCTAACTCGCCTGGACTCGTGGTATTTACCTCCAGGTGATCGTTTGGTGAGACTTGCCTCGTCTGGAGGCTTCGGGCTGCTTTCTCTTTAACAGAGCAAGCACTTAGGCTGCTCCTTTTTCATATTTAATACGAGGCTTGTTGGTAATTGCAGTCAGCAGGGAAGTTGAGTTAGTGCATGACACAAGCTGTGAACAGTAATTGGTGCTTTAATTGGTTTTGTAAACATTTATTTCACACGTCGCTTCTTAAAAGCCAAATTCTACCACGTCGTTCAGATATTTGATGGATTCATTTCCCTCCATCTTTTTTTCTGACCTCAGATGCTTTTTGAGATAACTTTGACTTAAGATTTTAGTCAAACAGCTTCCAGTTGTGCTCTCAAGTATTAAGTGTGTGGCAGCCTGTTGTATTAATTCGGTCTGTGCATCTTTTTGTGGATGGTTTTTGCAGCGTTTAATTGAACAATTTAAACCTAATCCAGTCTGTGCTGCTTCATATTGTCTGTCAGCCTCTGGAACCAAGAAGGGGAAAATGGGAACTGGGTGATAACTGAGAAAAATATTTACTCACTTTGTGTATTGACTACGATTAATGGTCTAAACATTTAATAAATGAAAATAACTGTTAGCTGAGGAAAATCTCAAAGCATATAGAGCCGCTGAAGGTGTTTAATGCACGTGTGCATATTATTATAGATACATGTATTGATAGTCATGTTTTTACATTTCCTTCATGTCTTTCCAAAAAAGTAATCCATACAGTGAATTTTAATATATGTACATCTCTGCACTCTGTAACCCAACAGAAACATGTTGTAAACCTCAAAAATGTTTCCTTTTTTTTCTTTATATTCCTGTCGTTTCTTGTCTTTGACGCCCGTCCCGTGTTCAGCCTGCATAACAGAACTGGAATAAACTTTTATTAGACCTTTATAGTTCTGAGGGTCTGAATTCTTCTTAAACCAGTCTGTGAGAAAACACCTGGATCGAGACCAACCAACAGGAAACCATGCAGCCTGTCAGTGCAGGAGGTTGCAGGCTGATAACTGTCCTGTAAACCCAATGAGACTCCAGTGGCGCCCCCCAGAGGGCAGTCTGTAGGCACCCCTGCAAATGTTTTATACCGACCTACCCGGCTGAACTACGACCAAGTATTTAGGACCTGACTGAGTTTTTTTTTTTTTTATGTTGTTATGAGAATAAAGTCATGATATTACCAGAATAAAGGTGCAATGCTCCCAGAAGAAAGACGTAAAACTCTGAGGAAAAAAAAAGTTGTTTAATGAGAAAAAAGCTTTGATGGTTTGGAGACCAACTAGATTCTTCCTCCTGAACAGACTCAGTCATTTGAACAAAGTCCTGCTACTCATAATAATTTGACGCTGATGTGTTAAGAGGAAGTTTTTCCTTATTTGTAGAATGATACCAAAGTTGAACTTCACAAGACGATCCACATTCCTCACTTTATTTTAATTTTGTTTGTAACACTCATTGTCTAAAAATATTATTATTATTATTATTATTATTATTATTATTATTATTATTATTATTATTATTATTATTATAAGGTAATATTATTAAAATATTACCTTATTTTTATGTTTATTCTGGTAATGTTATAACTTCATTCCCATTTTATTATGACTTTTTTCTCACAATGAATTTTTTTTCTTAGCCTGGTCTTAGTACTTAAATCCTATCTACATAATAATTTTAAAGAATAGGAATTCAAGGTAGAAGAAAAGACGCTTCCAACTGGAAGTTATGTTTTAAATCAATGAATATGAACTTTTGCTGGATTTATTAACCCTGACAGCAAGTAGGGAAAGGATTTATGCCATTTTGTCAGTAGATCTTAACAATCTATTATCATGACATGGTGAAAAAAAACAACAATTTTTTATTTATCTATCACATGGTGAAAAAATATACACACAAAAAGCCTTAATTAGCTTTTAATTAATATTATTCTTGAAGTACAATTTATCAGTGTGCCTTTAAAATGAGCCAGTGCTGGTGCATCTGTACAGAATCACTGAAAAGTTCATTTTAATTCCAATTATTCAGGTCAAAGCATGAAATGTGCGGCATAGATTCTAACAAATACTTGTGTGTCAGTTCATCAGGAAATTTAAATATTACATAAGAACAATAACATTGATTTTTAATAGATTCATTATTGTGGTCCAATGAAAAAATGTATCTATGTTGAAGAATCTTCCTGAATTAATTTTACTCCAGCTGCATGGACTATGCATCCCCCCAACGTCTTCAATGGATTTTACTCCACAGTCGTTTTCTGCCACACTTTTTCCTTCCACTAAATTTACTTAGAATTTTCTGTTGCTAAATCTGAATTGCTGAAATAAATTTTGCTTTTATTGACTTACAAATGTCTTAAGATGGAGCTTAATATCTAAGAGGAGCATCACAAATTTGTTTTTGACGTCATCAATCAACACGGTTCCAAACTTCCTAGACTTGCCTCTGCCAGCATCCCTCCCATCATATCTGAAGTAACACACACCGCTCCTTCCAGACTGGAGTTGGAGGAGTGTGTCAGCCTCTGTTCACTCTGAGAACCAGCCTGATTTCTCAATCACTGGCTGGATAAACAGGCAGGCGGCTCTCATGAGAGCAGCCGCGGTTGGTCCAGTGGATTACAGCAGCAAACTTGTGGAAACTGCAGTCAGGGAAGCCAAAGACAACATGGAACTATCCAGTGTTTCTGTCCAGCTAAAACTCACATCAGAATGTATTGCGTCCTCTAGCATCTCTGAATTTTGCCGGGTGTTTGTTGGTGTTCATGCCTCTGGGTGTGCGTTCTCGCCGCGCGCAAAGCGAACCTTCCCTCAGATCTCCAAGGAAACGAAGAAAAATAACTCGACACATTCACAGAAACGGATGAGTCGGTGTGGCTCGATCCGAAATCTTACCTGTTTGTGTCCCACTCCCGTCCCGCACCTTAACGCCCGTTTAAAGCATCGGTGGGGCCGCCGCTACAATCCAGCTGCGCGTCTGCGATGTGGAGACATTTGCATCCAGAACGGGCGGAAAAAAAGGGAGGAGGAGGAAAAGGGTGACTTGTCTTTTTCTATTATTTTAAAACACCTCCAGGTGAAATCAAACTGAGAACCGGAGCTTTCTAACAAAAGAGCATCTGATCCATGGCAGTCCCGCCCCGCGCTGCTCGTGTCCCAGCCCCGGTAAGTCCACGCAGGAGAGAAGCCTTTCTGCGTCCTGTCGGCGCGCCTTTGGACGGCGGTGCGTGTTCAACACCCAGCAGCTTTCTGAAATAGATCAAATGAATCAATCAGAAATCGTGACGTGTCCGGGTGTTCGGGCTCAGCCCCGGCGGGGGTGGATGCTCTGCAGCGGCTCTTCGCGGTCTGACAGCTCGGCTCTGCGCGCTCCAACTTTTATGGAGACCCCGGAGCGCACCGCCGCTGCAGTAATCAGATTACTGAGACGGTCTGCAGCGCGAGCCCAGGACCTAATTAGCACTGACTGAGACGAAGATCATGATTATAGCCAGGCAAGTGACGCTAGGCATAAATAATGAGTGATGCATTTAGGTTTGTCAATTGGGGGAAAATGATAGATGATTATTAAGAATCAGCTTTATGCGGTCAGCGCCACCTATCAGCCAAAAGAAAAATATCCCTAAAACCATAAAAAAATCCCCAGCCCCAAAATATTTTATTAGTATTAGACGGAGTATTCTGGCCTGAAACGACTTTTATTTTAGAAAAATAATAATAATGAAAAATACATTTACGAGAATAAAGTCACAATTGTGCATGACTTTATGACTACCACAAAGGCCAAAATTATGGGACACAAACAAAAAACAAAACAAAAAATCAGTCGGAGAGCCACAAGAAGCTCCCAGGCCTTTTGACACCCCTGAGTCAGGCAATAAAGTGACGTCATTAAAGTTTCACATAGAAAAACTTTGGAATTATGTCATTTTACACAAACAACCCCAGGGTCATCTTCTCTCTAACTTTATCTATTTCATTATTCAAGGTGTTTTATGTGGTGCTGGATGTGTTACACTTAAGTTGCTTTTCAACTTTATGTAGTTTATAAACCGGAGTCATATAGTTTCAAACATATATAAAATAGATTTGTAATATAGTTTGATCTATAAATTCAGTGAAGTTGTTATATGTTCATATACAACACTTGCTATCAGAAAATTAACATAGTTAATAATTGTTTACCTCGTCTGATATTCAACTTTCTAAAACTTCAATAAAAACTATTAAAATGATTTTACTGCCTATAAAAATTATTGTATATTTACCGTATGATAAAATAATATAGAAGAAAATAACATTATCAATTGTATACTTATGTTATTTTAGCCTCGTATTGAACTGAAAGGCCCCAAATTTGCGGCTCTTTAAAAACGTAGCTTCCGGTTTCCCATGAAAGTGGGCGTGGCTTTGTGCCTGAACCGTAAATGAGACTAATTCAAAAGGCACGCGCCACGAACAGACCTGCACCTGATCCCCACATAGCAAAGGTTGACCTCTACTGCCACCATGAGGATCTTTAAGGCACCTGCAATGACATCTCCAGTCTCCACGTTCAGTTTGATCAAAAACGTTTAATCCATAATGAAAACAGTCCTGTCTTACATACTCACACACACACACACACACACACACTTTTCTTTTTACAAGTAGCAAATTTCCAAGATCTAATGCATGTGGAGAGACAAACCAAAACAAAGAATCATAGAAGCACAAGTGATTGGCTTTTTGCAGCACAGAAACATAAAGAGTCCTCTCAGCAGCGTCCCTCCGACCAATCACAACGCTCCTTCCAACAGGAAGTCACAAGCTCATCCTGAGGCGTTTCACATCTCACTTCCTCTCCCTCTGGGACCGATGGGAGCCAAACTCCTGCCGTTTATTAAGCTGCTTCTGAAAGGCATTTGTGGCTGAGGCTGTAGTAAAGTAGTCCATGGAATCCTCCCTCCCCCATAAACCCCTAACCTCCATCCCCCCCTCACCCCACCCCGGAGCCGTTCAGCATTCCTCTTTGATGTAGATTTGTTCATCTGTGTCTGAGTCCAGGTGCTCCAGCCGCTCCGTCTGGCCGTTCATAATCTCATCGGGGGTCTTCATGAACCTGAGGGGCAGAAGGGGGAGAGGGGTTATCTGGAGCTCAGAGGAGAAGAGGGTGTGGGGTGTAGGGGGGAGTGTTACCTGAACAGGAGTCTTTGTCCGGGCTCTTTCCTGATGATGTTCAGCTTGTAGTAGTGTCTCAGTGCTCGCGACATCTTCTCGTACGTCATGTTGGTTCTGTTCTGTTTGGGGTCAACAACAACAACAGGGTCAGAGGTCAAACATCTTTTTACAAAAAACAAAAAACATTAGATTCAAGGCAGGTACTTTCTAGACAGGAAATGCTGTCAACATAAAGCTCCAAAAATCAGAGAAAGGAGGGAAGGGATGTCTAAAAGGAATGAAGGAAGGAAATGAAGACAAAATTAATTAACACAAAAGAAGGACATATGGACAAAAGGAAGAAGGAAGGGACAATAGAATGGGAAAGGAAAGAAAAGCACAAAGAAAGGAAGGTTATATGAAGGAAATGACAGACAGGAGGACACTAAAACAAAATAAACAAAGAAAAAGCCACTAAAAGTTATTTTTGTTTCCAAGAGAAAGCAATATTTATTTAGTAAAACAGAAAAACATCTGGAAGCTCCAGCATTTCTCTCTTCTGGCCCCTGAACAATGATAGAAGTACATTCCAGAGGATCCCGCTTACAGTAAACTCTCCTTTCATCTCACTGGAGCGTCTGAAACTTCTCATTAAGAGGGGGAACAAAACCCCATGTTTACAAATCATACTGAGAGATGGATATGTTTACGGATTTTAAAGTTTCTGAACAAATCGACTTCAATTAAAAGTCAGATTTGTCTCCATATTTCTTTGTGAGATTACACAGCAGAAAAACCCATTTCATGAGGCCGGTCGCCATAACGGTGTGATGTTTGTTTGGGGTTGGCGTCCATGAAGGAACAGGAAGTGGTGCGTTTACCTTGTGGTTCCCCCAGAGCCTGGCCAGACCGTTGGGGTCCATGATGCGGAAGACTTTACTGTCGGGGTCCTCCCAGCGGATGTAGTTCTCGTACCTGCTGTCTGACAGGAGCTGGTACACGTAGTCCCACAGCAGCCTGCAATCTGGGGACAACACACAGGGGGCGCTCTGGCTCAGTTCACACACTCCCAACACTAGCTGGGTTTCTATCACCAGATATTCCACTAACGTTGAAAAACACAATGTAGCGATTGTGGTGTTTCTGTTAAATAAGAAATTATAGTTAAATCCCACGTGAATATGTTTGTTCATGTGATAAATCATTAATAATCATGGTAGTGATGAATGTAAACATATATATTTTAGCCATGGTGCTAGCTCTCAACACTGAGCCATCATTGAGGCGTTGGAGCGACACTCAGTGTCTACGTATGCGGCGTTGTAGGGAAATTGCCATTTTACCTAAGAGCGATCGATTCAACATGTTCAAATGACAAACACAACTTTTTATGAACTGTGATGCTGTGACATTAGAGCTGGGTTATAATCATGAAATAAAGGTTTCATATCGGTCTATAGATGATTATTGATCAGGTTTTTGTTGTAAATATTTGAAATACTGCCACAGTGGTGGCATAAAGTTTTCTGTTTTAGCCACAGTTTTCACTCCATGCTGGTTATGATGCCACGCTCCTAGCTTAGCTCACCATGACAGGCTGAGCGGCTAACGCCTTTCCTCGGCCTACATCTCCCAGAATGCTGAGCCTTTTTGGATTGGAGTTCAGCTAAATTATTGAGTATTCTATTGGATATATTATCTATTGATTTTGATCATGTCTATTGTGATATATATTGTTATTGGTTTATTGCCCAGCCCTACACTATGTGTATACAAACCAGTGTGACTCTTGAAAAAAGTGTTTCCATTGTAGCTTTGATAAACACACCAATGTGATACAACTGAAAAACCACCTCATCCGAGCACACAAACACTGAAAAACCTGTTTTTTGAAATTGCCACTATTTCATTAAAGCTGCTGTATTTAACTTTTAATATATATATTTTTTACATATGTATTGAAACTGCAATTGTCATGAATTATGAAATAATTACTTACTCAAGCTCCTCTGCCTCCTCCCAGTGCTAACCACAAACAACCAATCAGAGGCAGGAGGCGGGCCTTAGCGCTGTCAATCACAAGCTTGTTTTGCTGCTCATACTCTCCCCCCACCACATTGCTCTCCACTACATTGCACCTAACAGAATATATTGTGAATGCTAGTAAGTTGTTTCTCTGCAGCATGTACACAAGAATGATTGACAGCTCTAAGACCCTCCTACTGGCTCTGATTAGTTATTTTTGGTGTGTTTCATCAGACAGCAATGGCAGCTTGTGGAGATCAATCTTTTCACATTTTATCTGTCTCATAATGTCACAGCATGGCGATAATTTTAACAAACATGTAAAAAACATTCTTTATAAAAGTTACATGTTGCAGATTTAAGTGAATTTATTAGTGATATTCCAATAAGCTGTGTTGTGGTCAGTGGAAAGGCAGCTGGTGTTTTGTGATGAAGGACAGGAAGTGATGTAATGACCTGCTATCCGGCCAATGGGCATCTGCTGCTCCTCTGGAGGAGACACGGGCATGATGACGTGGTTCCTGTAGAGCGCCTCCTCCTGTTGCTGCAACAGCTGCTGCTGGGCCAACTGCTGCTGCTGCTGCTGCTGGTGGTGGTGGTGGTGGTGGTGCACAGGCACCTTGCTCTCACGCCCGTTCTCCAACACCACCTGGGAGGGGGGCCCGGCGCGGCTGTGCCTGAAGTCCAGGCCGGCCCCCCCGCCTCTGCCGGGGCTGAGCAGCAGAGGGTTCAGGATGGTGCTGGGCATGAGCTGGATGACGCGGGGCGGCCCCGCCTCCTGGAGCCCTGGGCTGGGGGCCTCCCTGGGCGCGGCGCAGGGCCCGTTGGGGGCCGGCGGAGACACGGACAGCGGGTACATCTCCTCGGCCAGGTGGTGGTTACTGTCAGGCAGCTGGGAGAAGCTCTGTAGGGGGTCCTCGCTGGCCGAGCGGGGCCGGTTGGGCTCCTGGGGCGACCGCCTCGGGGCCGGGTTGAGGGGGGAGCGTGAGCGTGAGCGGCGGTGCCTCAGCTCGATGGTGGGCGGGTTCTGGGGGAGGGGTTCTGTACCGCGTGGCGCCCGCCGTACCGTCTCTGAGGAGGCAGACATATTGGATTGTAGCTATTTATATTTATCTAACGGCTTCAAACCAGCAGCGGCAGCAGTGCAACGTTCCTACAACAAACCACAGCTTTTACATTCAAATGTACAACTTCAAGCAAATGTTTGATCTTTACTAGATGGATATTCTCAGAAAATAAAACACCTGAAAAGGAAAAGGAGGAGAAACAAATATTGATTTTTATAATGCAGGCGTGTTCCTGGTTGTGGATATTTCCTGTAACTGATGGGAAGTTAAACGGTTTCATTACTGAAGATGTCGCACATGCACAAATATTCCACTAGATGTCACTAGTGTCACTCTGAGACTGAGCCGAATGTTTCAGGGAGAAGATCTGAAGACAAGAGGGTGCTGAGGAAGGATGGAAGGAATTAACAAAGGTATCACTGAATGAGGGAAGGAAAGGAAGCAAATGAGACAGGAAACGTGGAATAAATGCAGCAACGACTTAAATCTGCAAATGTTTTTGAGAACTGGACAGATTCTATAACTCCTAAATGTAAAAGTACTGAACAGAGCTTAAATAACCATTGAGAGTAAACTAATTCAGTGTGGAAACAATGTTGACGCTCTAGATTTCTCTGAAACTTTAGGAAGGTTTGCAGGTTCCAGGTACCTGCATGTGAGTGATCAGTGGCATAGGAAAATAGCTAAGAGGGGCACCGACAACAAAGCAGGAACTCACCACAGTGAATGAGTCACTTTGCATGAACTCTTTATTGTTTAACTACATCAGCACTTCCTGGTGGAGCAGGTTTTACTGTCAACACCAGAGTTACGGCTCAGTCCTATCTGATTGCTGCCGAGTCACATTTTCTTCCACCCGACCCAGGAAGCAGTTTCAGGTATTTCACCAACTTGGTCGGCACTTCCTCGAATAGAATCAACAAAGTAGTCTAATGGAACTTCCATCGCTGCCTTACACTTTTATTAAGCTGACGCTTTTGCTTACATATTTTGGAGGACTTTGCATAGTTTACATGTTTGCTAGAACTCTTAATCACTTTGGTTAATCTTAATCAGTTTGTAAGACAGTAAATACGAGATCAGGAGATGATTTTCTGACTTTCAGAGAGGTTCTTCCTTGAAGAAGCATAATTTAGCTGGAAATCTCTGCCACTGTTATAAGCTGAAAATGAGCTCTGGGTAGCCCTGTGACTGCAATGCTAGTGTATATGTCATACAATTAAAAATAAGGATTAATTACTAAAAAGCAACAAACATCACAAAATGCTTCAAAAATGACTTCAGGTCTATTTTTCACATCATTATTTATTATACAAAAGGCAGGTGTAAAAGGTTCAGAGGAACCTGACCAAAACTAGCTAAAATCCAGTAGGTGGCTAATTATGCTTACATTTGTTGTTGGCTGCTAGCATCAGATTAGCTCAGCTAGAGGCTTCAGATTAATGGCAGGAAAAAGAAGCCGTATCAAGCATTCACTGCAACTTTGTTCTCAGTCTGAATTGCAATAAACTCAGCCCAAAATAAAACTATAAGTAAGAAGTGAATAACTAAAGCAGCCTACCCAACATAGTGCTTTAAAGGCAATATAGTGGCATTTTAAGCCATTTTACAAAAGCATGTTTTGTACTTTTGTAACAAATTTTTTTATTTTTATTTATAAATAAATAATAAAGCATGATGTCACAAAAAGCACAAAGCATAGATCTGCCCTTATGGATCTGGTACATTGTCACCCATATCCGAGCTAGATCTTTTTTTTGTTTTCTTTTTCAATGTTGGGATCGATACAGATATTAATACTGGATTGGTGCATCTCTAATTCTAACTGGTAGTCATTATTAGTCTCCAAACAAAGGCTAAAGAAACCTGAAGTGTGTCCCTGAAGTAGGAAGCTACTACTTCAGTGTAGGGAGGACTGACCTTCGAGCTTCAGATGCTGCACAGCGCTTTCAGGCAGCGAATGGAAAGAGTTCCCAGGAAAGTAAGCAGACGGGCAAAACACACTGGACTTCCGTTGCTTCAGTATGTGCTGCAGCAGCTCATACAGGACATCCCCTGCAGAAAGCAAAAGGTCATAGGTTACCATACGTCTCCCAGTGACATCTGACGCCTGCATGATGTGGGACATTAGCGGTGTCGTCAGACGCAGTGTCCGGTTCCCCTTCTTCTCCTCCTCTGTGCTTTCCAGGATCCAGCCCAAACGATGCTGCCGTTATTGCTCAAACTTCCTCTGGCTTAAGCAATTCAGGACAGGACTCACCAAACAAATAATACTTCTGTTACTAGAGACACTTCTTAGATAGTCTACCCCAGAGTGTGAAGACATCATAGACTGGGACCTACTACAACCAGCTCATAGCATTCGGTTTGTATTTAAACCAAAGTCTGCAATATCAATGCCTCAGTATCCGTCAGTGACTCCTCATCAGAGGTTACTACATTCTTGTATTATTCTTGCATACACAATATTCCAGCATCACTTTAATGAATCACAAGCAAACGTTAAATTGGAACCAAATTATGTTTGTTCGTCTGTTTGTGGTTCTCCTTTAGGATCGTCAGGAAAAACATGGTTGATAAAAGATGACTGTGGTACTTTGTGCTGTACCTTCCATTTTTAGAAATCTTCAATTTGTCCGTACATTCTTAAAATGCAACATCAGTGAAAATGTCACATCAAGATTTTTTTTTTAAATTGTACATCTGCATCCACCTCTTGATTGGCAAATCAAATTTGTACCACAAACTCATCTAAAGAGTCTCTTTGTTGCTTTGGCTGCCTGAAACCACAATTCTACTTAATAAAATCTAACAGTGGTCTGCTTCCAAATGACTGTTAATTGTTTAGGGATGTTTTTTCTCATCTGAATGCAAATCTAAAGTTAGAGCTGTATGAATAAAACAGGAAATGCTCTGAGAAATTAGCTTGTAAGCTTCAATTTCCAGTTTGATTAGCCAGTCTGAAACTCAAAATCAGATCTATTTCCAATCGTAAGTGCCACTACACACCTCCAAGAAAAACAGTTGTGGGTGTGGACGGTATTACTGAGTGAAGGACAGACTCAAAGTTAGCCATTTTTCCCATCAAAGATTGTAAAGCACATCAATGCTAGAAGCTATTGAAAAAAAAGGACAAGTCGACGCATGTCTGCAGTTCACTGATGCTGCAACAGAGTGCAAGACAATGGAGTAGATGAAAGTTTCTCTGTTTTATCCTTTTGAGCTCTCACCTCTTCTAACATAAATGATGATTGATGTTGTAGAACAGGAAGGCCAGGAAATATTTGGAATGCTGTTCCTCTGTGACTCTGTATTCCCAGCTGCCCTCAAACATTTGCAACAACTGACTTTCCTGTCACCATGGAGGAAATCTGGACAGCTCCTGTTTGCAGGATTGTTTTAATTGATCCACAGTGGAGGCTTTTTGATCATGAAGGGAATGTTCAGGGTGGAATTTAACTCCAGACTCTAAAACCTTCATTTGTTTTTAAATGCGTCGGGTGGTGGACTTGCTGGTGTGCTTGAGATCATCTCTTTGTTGCATAAAACAAGTTTACCCAAGTTCTAGGTCACAAAACTTTCATGCAGGGGAATTCATGGTTCCATCAATTCTCATGACAAATTTTGTAATGTCCCTCAATCCCAATGGAGACTAGTACGTCTGATGAGCTAGTTGGGTGTCTAGCCCTGCTTCTCCACTCCAACGCAGTCATAAATTGGACGTTTGCATGGACATGTCTGGTGGACGTCCGGTTTGAGTTGAACCTCTGCAGAGTAAAAAACGTCAGGGTTTCTGGGGGTCTCTGTGACCGCGTACTCGGTATCGGTCGGCAAACTGACTCCTGAGAGTCAGCCCAACCAGTCCCAAGAACACACAACTGCTAGTTGCATATTCTTGCTAGGTGCCAAACTAGCTTGTCAAACTTGCTGAGCTTTGAAAATTAAGAACTTTGTTATGAGAAATGTAGGCAATCTGTACGCTTGACAATGAAATCTCAACCATCCATGGTCAGTGTCTGCAGAGTCATCATACACCTGAGTGTGTGGTAGCCTTAAAGCCGCAGAACAGACCACGCCATCACATTGCCACCACCGTCTTTTCCTTTATGTACGTTTCATTTCTAAAAGCTCGACTGATAGTGAACCAGATGCAGCTAACGTTCCACTAAGTTCCAGTGGGGTCTACTACTTCTTCCCAAAAGACAATGTTGGTTTGGACAGACTTGTGCATGTATTAAAAGACATCAAAAAAGTGACGTTTTTATTGATTTTCATTTTGCTGTCAAAATCAGATTATTTCAAACGCTGAAGTACGACAAAAAAAAAAAAGCAAAAACAGAAAATGGACAATAAGAGAGATTGGAAATGACTGACTAAATGGAGAAACCATCAACTGGACTGTCGAGGGAAAGTCATTAACAATCTATGAACATATAAAAGGACCATTGTGCGATATGATCCTGGCACTCGCCTGGTCGTAGAGCAGCATCCGAGGGCAGGAACAAAGCCTGAGCAGGAAGGTCACTCAATGATTTCCAACCTCAACATTTACACAAGCAGCCACCAGACCGGATGGTATGATCTCACCAACACACGGTCACCCGGCTCACGCTCTGAACCGCCTAACATAACAAGGAAATGATTCTCATAAAGGAAGTGAGGGTGAACACACACAAACAAATGCGCGCGCATGCGCGCGCACACACACACACACACACACACACACACACACACACACACACGCACACACCCTTTCAGTTCTCACTTTCTGGCAGTGTGGGGAAAATTCCTGCTTCCTGCTCTTTTCTCTGATTCCTTTATTTAAAATAGTCTGCTTGTAAAAAACTAATGTGTGCTCAAAATAAGAGTTTCCTTTTGAAGACATAAACAGGATATTTAAAATTTCATTATATCTGTTGAGTGATTGGTTTATGGCTCACACTCGCCATGATGTAAGTTATGCCGTCTTTCAGAGATGCATTCCATGACAAGGAAACAGCTTCTACAAAGCAAAGCATGAAACCCCAGAGACTGATGGGAACTCTGTGCCTATAAACATACAAAGGAGGAAATAGACGCATCACAAGCCAGAAAATTGCTCTCTTCCCTAAAGTGAGATTTAGACTGATACCACTAACCACTTGCTGTAAACAACTAATTCTGACGTAAAAAAAAAAAAAAATCCCCTTCCATTTTAGTTATCTGACCTTATGAGGCAGGCTTTGTGAACGAAACACCTAATATGACCCGAGAAGATCATGAATCATTTCCTCCCACTTTTCTCCTCATCGATTACTTGACAGGATGGGAGATTTGTTTGCTCACAGCTGAAATGGAAATGAGGTGAGCTGTCAGGTTGGTCACTTCACTGGCCTTCAGGCCAGGAAATCAGTCTGCTCCTATTTAGTTTTAAAGATTTGCTGAACATGAAAATAAAACCTAGCAATGTTCAAAAACACATCATATAAGGTGAAAACATTTTTAGGAGCCATTGACAATGCTTATAAGCAGGATGATATGACTACAGCCATCAGCTCGAGTCAAAGTCCCACATACCTTCCCACAATCACTTGCAATGGTTTTTAAATATGTCTGGAAAAGTTAAAAGTTCACTAAAACCCAACTCCTTTCTATCTATGGCCCAGTTTTCAAAGTCCCTACTTTCAAGTCACTCTGTTTGTGCAAAGCGTAGAATAATTTCAGCACACTGCCAGTTAGCTGGCTGTGCTAAGGCACCAACTTTTTTCTTACTTTACGAGACGTGTTTAGAAACCAACATGGAAACTGAAAGGGCCCCACCCTTCACTGGTATTAAGGAAAAGTTGTTTTAAAACCAGTTAGAAAGCTAGAAGTATATTTGTTAAACAGGCGGCTACCAGAGATCAGACACACCTCAAACTTTAACAAACTCCATTTGGTCAGTTTGCAGTTAAAGACTGAGGGAATAAAAGTTATCAAAAGTGAGAGTTTTTGAGCATGTGTAGGAATTGCTTTCCATGCGTAACTGCAGGAGCCAAACAGCAAAAATGTAGAATATGTTTTCTTTGTCTGTCAAGAGTTTTGCCTATGTTGGTTTCACTGTAATATTAAATGTACTAAAACAGCAAAAATCAAAATTTTGCTTTTTAAGAAGTTCAAATAGCTTTTTTAAAAAAAGACCTCAGAATTTTAATTTTTGAAACATTGTTACACTGGGCAATGGGTGTCATTTCACAGGTGCCAGTATAATAAAATAGACTATGAAAATGGTTTTACAGTCACCATGGTACCAGCAGAACCAGCTTCATTAAATTTAATGACCAATGTCAAAATTATTTAAAACTAAAGCTGAAGCAAGATGAAGTTTGGAGGATTTTTTATTTTACTTATTAAATCTAATAACCAGAGGCTATGAATAAAAAAGTAGCATCTTGTCCAGCCTTGGAGTTGGATTGATCCCTGACCTCATTTCTAGATTTATCAGAGCCTTATTTATTCTCGTATGACTTTCATCCTGAACCACATCACACAGCGCCTGTGTGGAGCCTGAAACTCCCGATGTTCTCTGCTCCACAGTTGAGACTTTTTTCTTTCAAATCTTCCTGACAGACTAGCAGAAACGGAAGGAGAAAATCAGCTCAATATTTCATTTTTTTTTTTTCTGGCGCCTCTCCACTGGTGTTGCTCGGGCGACAGTTGAGGTTGCTTTCTACTTCCTGATGAACTGTCTCCTACTTCCTCTCCCCCAGCAGTCGTGCTGTAACAGCTGCATCCCTCGGCTGTCACCTCCCACCGCCACATCATCTACTCCTGCTGCCGTTACTGATTTATTTTCCATTTTGGAGGTTTAATATGAGCAATTGAAAAATTGCACAAGAACAGAAAATTTCAGAATGAGACTGACCTAATAGTTATTGTAAATTAAGACTAAACTAATGTTTCTGCAGGTTTTGCAATACTTGCAACTATTTTCCTCTCCGTAATTCAATGATCTGCCATTTGCATTTCCTTTCTAGCTGCTAAGTCTTTTGTTTTTTCCTAGTGTGGGCTGAAATGACTCATTTTGAGAATATTTCACTGATAGATTCAAAGCTGGGAGTGTGCTCCTGTTTCCAGAAGTGCGTAAAAGGTAGTACCAGAGTGAGGGGATCTGTAGCGGAAGTCCTCCTTGGTGAGGAGAAGCAGGGCCTTGCCATTCATCTGGAAGGTGCCGCTGGTGATGGGCCGCAGCGCAAACTCTTTCTCGGCCCACCGCAGCCACTGAGCCACGTCTTCCCTGCTCCAAAACACTGGCTGCAGGCCTGGAGGTGCAGAACGGAGAAGAAGTCAGGGTTTTGGGGGAGACGGCAACAAATTGGAGAAGAAAGGAAAAGAAAAGAAGAAAAACGAGTTGAGTGTTGAAGAAGCAGACGGATGGGGAGGCGGCAGTGATGCTGGAGGCGGAGGAAGGAAGAAAGAAGGAAAGGCAGGAAGGAGAGCGCGGGGAAGGGGGAGGGCAGGGAGGAAGGAGGCAGTAAAAAGGATATTGAGGAAGTGGAGATAAAAGCCGAAAGGAGGGAGTGATTACGGGAATGGCAGCAGAGATAAAGAGAAAAAAAGATGAAGGGGGAGACGGAGTCAGAGAGGGAGAAGAGGTTAGAATAAAAGATTAAAAAATGATAGTTTAGACATAAAACTGCAGAATGAATAAAAAAACCACTATGTTTATATATATATATATATATAGTTACAATACACTTTGCCGTTTTGTTCTGTTAATCCTAAAGACGCATGTTAGCGGATGGAAGATTTATTGGTTTGTTTTCAGAGACACACATGACAGGAAAAATGAGCGAAGGAAAGTGAACCGGTCGCCTTTTTATTTCCTTTTTTCACACCGCCGTGTTTCACTCACTGCCCGGAGAACAAGAGTGTAAAAAAATCTATTATAACAACCAAGAAGTATTTATAGTCACCTGAAAAAGTGCAGAAAATACCCTGTTAGGAGAAAACTCTATGACCCTGCTGAAAAACGTGGTTCATTGAAGAATCTCTAATTTTAAATAATCTGGATTTTTATTATTTTTTTATTATTATTAAACAAATTGCTTAAATATTCTGAAAACTTGTTTATTTCCTTTATTTCCTTGTCCTGGTTTTTGATTTTTCTGGTTAAATGTCAAAAAGTCAAGAACAAACAGAAAATCAGGATGAGCATCTAAAATAGCTTAAAATAAAAAAGTTAAATAACTGTCTCTTTTCTACTAAACAATCACATCCTTTCTACATTTTCTTAAACAAACATTAGCGCTGTTTTACCTTGGACAATTTGAAACAAGGAGTGTGAACCGTGTCGCAGTAAGCACACGAATTATAAAATTCTAGTGTAAAGTACATAATTGACATATATTATGTGAAATTCTAGAATATAGCGTATATATCCAAACTTTTTCAGTTCCTTCTTTTGTCCATGAAAACCAGTAGCATCTAGCTAGGCTATCTCTCCCCTTTTCAATGTGTTCTCTGTTGAATGTAGAAATACTCCAAACAACTCCAGTTAGACTTTTACAGTAATTCATAAAAAAAAAACTTTTACAAGCATTTTTATGAACATTTATAGCTGTAATTTATCAAAAATGCTTATTTTATTGCTTATCTGATTTAATTTAATTGTATTTCCAAAAACAAGTTGATGCCAACAAAACTTGGACCATTCATAAAACCAAAATAAAACCAAGGAATAGGTCAACCTATTGCTAAATAATATTGATACTCAGGAAACATTTTTTACAGTTGACTATGAGTAGATGGTCTTAGACAAGTCAACAAGTGGGTGAAGATTGCCTCATGGTTGGTTCAAAACATCTTGAGAGCACACAAAATAGTGACAGAAGCTAAATGACACTGATCAACAAGGTTTGGACCCTCGGATATTGACAAACGGTTGCCCCCTGGAGGCGTGGACTCTGTTGAGGTTTAAGATTTTACCCAGTCACTGCCGTATGGTCATGCCGTATTTATATGACACTTCTATGCTAAATTACCTGTGCTCTAAACGACCAATCTCCACTGCAAAGAGAGAAGTGCCGAGCAGAACGAAATGGCAGATGTTGTTTGGGAGCGTGACCAGCACAGACTGAACATGTTCGTTCACTTCCTCCGCTGCCAACGGGAAAACTACAGTACAATACTAAAACAGCGCAGAAAATCGACATAATGCACAACTCCTTCTGTCTGCTGATTGACCAGGTTCCACCAGAGAAAGCCACGGCGGAGCACTGACAGAAGAATCAAGCACAATCGACTAGGAAAGCAAATTATAAGATGCTGATCTCTTCCGTGGTCTTGGCGTGACACTCAGGAGAAGCACGGAAAATGTCATTGTTGGATAAGTAGGAAGCGGAGGACTGTCCTGTCAGACTGTCAATTTCCAGAACCACACACACACACAAAAATACTTGTAAAAGCCCATGTGAGGTCAGTGCAACACCACCAGACCGCAGGGTCTGTCTTAAGATCTTAAGATAGCGGAAGGACGAAATAACCGTGTGGGGAAAATTAATATTCATTATTTACTTAATGCTTCTGACATTCTTCCTAGAAAATGTTTCTGCATTTTTTTTATTGCTAGATCCTTTGCAATGAAGTCACATACCTAAATCTGAATGAAAAATAATTTAAATGTGATAACTTTTTTGTTTGTTTGTTTTTGCCTCAAAGAAAAGATCTTTGGTTAAAATGTCAAATGTATCCAAATCGACCACCAAAAACATTCAGCAACCGATATTGGCCTGCATTTATGCCAGTCAGCATGTGATACTGCCGCCTCATCACATCACTCTTCTCTTGCTGGAACCTGATGATCTACAGTATGACTCAGGCTCACCTCCCCTCTCTTTCCTGTATCCTCTTCTGTTTCGCACAGGTGAAACCAAACCGCTAAGCGTGCGTCGCTCTGATCAGAACATCCCCGACGCTCACATCGAGCACAAGCCGCTCACTTCTTACGCCTGACTTATCAGACAGACTCGAACACTTCCTCTGGGAGTCGGACAGCTGTTATCTTTGGCCGCCAATGTCACTTGTCACACGAGTAATAAGAACCGTGTGTCTGCTTCCACTCCCTCCCCCTCGCTTTCCGCTCACCCCAACATGTCAAACAAAGGAAGTTTTCAGAGAGCAATCGATCTAAAATGACACTCTGTCCAGATTGTCAGATTTCTGTTTCTTCCCTTTCCTTCTACTCCTCTATATTCAGTTGGCGATAAGGCAGGGAGGGTCGAGGTTATCCGAAGCACAGCTCTGACCCTCAGCCTGTCGTCTGAGGAAGGTGTCTGCAAATGGGATTAAAGTGCTTCAAGACAACAAGGGCTGCGAATAAAAAAAAACGAAAAAAAAGTTGGATCCTATTTTCTTGTTGGGTTTCTGCTTCACTGACAAAATCAGCTCAGCACAAATCAAATTTGCCATCAAAATGCGTCGACTTTGTAGCTTTCTGTAGCGGAAAATAGACCTGTGATACAGCTGAATGCATCCCCGACTTATTAATATTGAATCAAGTTGCCATCTGCGTGACGTGCACCAGCTGTACTTTGGTCTCCCGTGGCCGAGTTGTGAGAGCAGTGAAGATGGGGCGGGCAGAAGTGAAGCTCAGGTCAAGAGGTCACGGCTGCGGTATGCTCTCTCTAGGGCCGGAGAGCCCTTCCGCCTGTTCCAAAAGCCCTGTGAGATCCGGTCTGCCGGCCTCGGCCATCTGCACGGGGCCCGGAGGAGGAAGCAGCGAGGGGAGCAGAAGGAGTGAGGAGGAGGAGGAAGAAGGGGGCCCAAACAAACGTGTCCCACAACGCTCTTTGGCAGGAAGTAATCCAGCGTGGGCTCCTTTTCAGCACAGGAAACTTCCTGTGGCAGGGTTAGAGAGCAGCGCAGGGAGGTTCAGCAACTGACAGCGGCACAGAGATGGAAAAAAAAAGGAAGAGAGGAAACAGAAAGGAAAGTGTGGCGAGAGCAGCAGCGGATGGTGCGTCAAGACAATAAATTGAAGCAGCAAGGATAAAACAGCAATAGGACTAAACAAATATGCAAGAAGAGGAAGGAAAGGCACACAGGAAGGGAAACGGATAACTAATCCGGAGCCCAGATCGAGTTTCCAGAGCCGAACGTCATGTTCAGTCTCCAATTCCTTCCTTAACTTATTTCTGTGGCAACTTGTGTTTATTCTAGGATCTAATCTGCACAGTAAGCAAAGTCCACAAGGCGGATCAGAGCATAAAACAGGTTCATGAAAAGTTCCTTCATAACAATATGTAACACCGCTACATACTTAAAGTCAACCCCCCATAGATACTGACATCTACATGGCCTTGGGGAGTCATGATGCCAAATTCATAAGCCGTCAGTCAAAGTGAACATTTAGAATGGCTTCCAATATGAAAACAGAAGTGGCTTTAAATTTGTCACCAAGACCTTAAACCAAGTATATTTTTCTTTTTCAGTCTTCCCGGCCCACATGTCCATAACAGATGCTACATACAAAAGACTTCCTGCTTCATGGAGCAGCTATTGGTTCACTGCATAGAAATTATAATAATCCAAGCAACAGATTGTTTCTAGTAACAAGCATCACTGACACTTTAGGAGTAAACTGCGTCGGCCAAATATGCTACAGAAACCACAAATAACCACTAAAAGTAAAAGTTTTGGTTCTGAAATTTCCTGATGAACACTACAGCATAGAACACAGCACACCCTACTACCCCTGTGTAGTTTGAATTCTAGTTTGTTTGACTAGAAAGTCCAGTTTGTTTTTTTGGAGGTGTGAATGTGCAAATAAACTCTGATGTAGACCAAAAGAGCAAACTCTGCTCCACCTACAAACCTAGGACTCAGTTCACATGAAGAAAACTCTGGTGCGTTCTAGTGTACATGTGAATGCCAAGCGGACCGTAGATCGCTTCAGCTGCAGGAAGTGAACTACACCGCAAACGAGGGAGTCCAGCCCTAGCATGAGAAGTGACTCATCATCTTCTGCCAAAGACAAAAGGGTATCCCTACAACCATTTAAATTTCATGCCAGTCCATTTTTTTCATATTTCGTGAAGAAGGAAGTTTCTCTCAGTGTGTTTTTTAGAGGCAGGTTTTTGCATTGTTTCCTTCAGTCGTTCTTGGTGCAGCACCACCACAGGCAATGGGGGGAACAGGTTTTTCAAAAGGTTTGGTTCTTTTTTACACAGTGCAGCGAGAAAGCAAACAGATGAAAATGTTCTAGTTTTGGTCCCCAATTGAACCAAGTCTACCAGATTGTCAGGTGTGAAAGCATCCTAAA